TTCTAAGCCACTTCAGATTCTAAATTTGCATATATTGTGAAGTGTGACCACCTTTATTCTAGGGTTTTCACATCGCTTAATTGGACCGTACATAACGCATCCGAATTAATTTCATTTTCCACAACACAATAATAGTTTTAAGTTTTGGTTTTGGATGAACCAAGATTCAATACGACTTAAAGTTATAATAAATACACATTTTTCTTCTAATCATATTTTGAGACTTGATAGCTATAAGATCTATACACTCCATCCAAAACCTACAAATCACAAACTACAAATCCTATCGGACAAATATGTACGAGTTTTGTTTTTCTTCTTGTATAGCTAATCTTTAATTTCAATACCAAAGCTAGGATAATTAAGAGACATGAGACCAAACTTAATAATTAAATTTAAAAAAACCTGGATGGTGAGCACCGGATGGACCGGGATAACCAGCGGGAGGATAAGCGCCGGGAGGAGGTGGATAAGCGGCTGGTGGATAGCCGTGAGGTGGAGGAGGATAGCCTTGTGGTGGATAACCATGCTGCGGAGGATAAGCTCCCGGCGGTGGCGGAGGATATTGACCCGGTGGATATCCATGGCCCGGTGGATAATGATTATTATGATGTGAGAAGAATCCTTTGTCTTGTTCATGATGCTTGTCTTTACCCATTTTCTTTAATTTACCTAATTAAGAAACATTTCATTAAACAAATCAAATTAGATTCATAAACTCAAAAACTATTTGAGAGAATTCAAGATGAGAGACTTTGAATTACCTTAGGGTCAAGGACTTGAGAGAGATAAGAAGATAGTAAATATTGAATGTTGTGTTGTAGATGAGAGTTTTGATAATACAAGATATATTGGTTAGAGAAAAAATAACTATAACTATAACTATATATAGTATAATAGAGTTGGATACACGTAAATGTGTATATATGGATGTGTGCAGCGTAAAGTGCTCTTGGCTTTTGATTTAAAGCGAAATGGACGCGTTGATGCACGCTCGTTTTAACAACGCATTCTTATTCTTGCGTTACGTGTTAACTTTAAACTAATATAATATATATGATAATTTTGACCATTCATTTGCAATATTGTTTAAAAACGAAATCCAACCACAACAAGGTAAATCACATCTTTTGGCGACTTGCACTGATTTATGATAATTACACTGTTTTGTAAGTGGGCTGACTCAAGAAACTGGGCCTCAAAATCCACGGATTTATCAGTCTTTGATTTTGTACAATCTAAGGCTCTCACAAGCGATTAATTGACAGAGACAAGTCTTAAAGACACCAAGAACAATACCAACATAAGTGACATTAGTCTCCAAAATCAAACTGTCAAAATACATCACCTTCTTCATCAAAAGAGAGTTTTGTGTTTTGCTAACATACCAAGCAAGCTCAATCGGATCTGGCGTTTTTTTCTTTTTCTTCATATACATCCGAAAATGAACCAAAATAYAGCAAAACCATTTCTTAGATTAGATACTACTACCTGAGAAAACCTCATCCGAATCAGACAGCTTTAGGAAAATGTGGGGACAAGAGCTTCATGACCTCTGTGATTCCAACTTTGTCTTTGCCATCGAAGATCGTCTTTAACTTATCATCGCATTGAATCTCCCTCTTGTTCGCCGGATTCTACAATGAAAAAGCGAGAGAGGAAAAGAAACAAAATGGGTTTTGTAAGCTATCATCAATGATCAAACACACAGAGAAGCTTATGTTCAAAATCAAATCAAAAGCAAATGTGGTCATGATTGTTTCTTTATCTTTGCATTTAACAAGACCAATTCTACTAAGAAAATCACGCAAGCTCCAGGACAATAGAGAACTTCAAGACTCAGAAGTTTCGATGCCTTTCACGTTCTCAAAGATAAATTTTCACACACATTGTTCTACATTCAAAACCAATACATTGTTCAACCATTCTAAAGCAACTCAAGCTCCATGACAATAGACAAATTCACAAGACTCAAAAATTTCAATGCCTTTAGATAATTTT